ACACATGTAAGTTCGTTTTTATATAGTCCTAGTATTCTTTTTAGACATATACTTTTTTGAATCGCGAATTTAAGTTCTCCACTTGCGCCCGTCTTTTCTATCTTTTCATCTATTATCTCTAACATGAATGTCCATTAGGGCAGGATCAAAGAATATTTTTTACTTTCTCGTATACAGAGTATAGAGGCAGTAAAAACTCTGTAAATATTGTAAAAAAAGAATAGCGTTAAGCTACTATATTACATACTAAAGTAATTATTGATATGTTTTTTATATTAAAAATTAAATTTGTAGAAATATACATAGTTATATTAAGAGGGTGATAATTTCCCTTAGTTCGTTTGTCTTAATTAATTTTCTAGGAATCATTGTCAAATTGTTTTTTTTTTTTACAATGATTACAAATCAGATTGTGTTGCGTTAATTATTTTTGGTTGTATTGTGTGTATATTATATTGTAATATATATATATTATATATATATATAATATAATATATATATATATATAGTATATATATAAAATGCTGGAAAAAAAATTTGAACCCCCCCCCCCCCATGTGACGATCCCGGCTAAGCCACCATTATAAAGACATTGTTTGATGTTCGCTTGGTGCGCAATTCTTTTTTCAACGATATTCTATTCTTTGTTACAAAATTTAAGAATTCAAAAATCATGTCTATATCCCTAGTTGCCTTCCCCGGTAGTGTTATATAAGAATATTCGCGAAAGTTTAGGGGAGATCACTCCCGCTTTATTTTGAATCGCGAAATTAAATTCTCTACTTGCGCAGACTCTATTATCTTCCACTAACATTAATGTCCATTTCGACATGATCAAAGTACATTTTTTGTTCGAATCTCAGCCCCAAAACTTACCCAGATCTCGAGTCCTAATCCGAAATTTATCAGTAATTTAAGCAGAAAGATGTGCAGTACATTACATATAGTTTCGACGTTAGGGTTACGTCTGGTGTTTGAACTACGTTTATTCCATGACTAGATTTTAAGATAAGATCCTAATACACTGCTAATATATTGATTCGATACGGACCAGCTGGTGAGAGTAGAATCAGCGGAGCAGGACGGAAAGCAATACATACAATAGAAGAACACGTAAATCTAACTTACGAGTTTGTTTAGCAGTATGTAGAACTTTTTCAAGTCTTTCTTGGTATCTGAAAAAAAGAGTATCGAGGCGTTAAAAGAACGAACATCGGACAACTTATATATATATATATATATATATATATATATATATATATATATATATATATATATATATATATATATATATATATATGTATATATATATATATATATATATATATATATATATATATATATATATATATATATATATATATATATATGAAAAGTAAAGTAAAGAATCATCGCTAGACCTAGCGATCTATTGGGCAGATGAAGTAGAGGTCTGTTTCTTGAACTCAGCATACATGGTAAGTACTTTGCCCGATCGCCTTTACTTTCCCTAACGTGAGTTAGATACCCATCAGAGCTGGGTGGACTTAGTAAAATACAGTTTAATAATCTGGTGTATTTCTGCTGTGGTGGTGATAAGTATATGTTATTATTTGACTCGCAAAGCTATGAAACAACTACAATGTCTAAAAGACATAGATAATTAAAAGCTTCTAAGTCTAGAGGACGCCCCGAACGTCTTTATTCGACGCCCCAATGATCCTTCTACGACCCCCACCCCGAGGTATATGATGCCCTTATTGTCCCCCAGCGACCCACCTTTTGAATTCAGGGGTCAGACAATATTTACGACAAGAATTCGTTTGATTAGAGCCACACAATCAATTCGCTTTCACGCGGGAAAGTTTTTGCCCTTGTAATAAGACAATTGGAAACACATGCATATGTGCATGCGGAGGAAGTTGCAAATACATAGATAATTAGCAATAACCAGTGCGATTATTATCCATCTGCATATAATTTTATATATGCATATATATATATATATATATATATATATATATATATATATATATATATATATATATATATATATATATATATATATATATATATATATATACATATATATATATATATATATATATATATATATATGATATTCCGATTTAGTATAGTAAAATTGTGGTTTTATTGAAATTGATAAGTTTGAAATTAATTGTAATAAACGCAATTCGAACGAGCCGTCAAGAATAGCTAAAGCTTAGCCGGAGTATTAGGTTAAAATCAATAATAATACAAACCTAAGATATATTGCTACACAGAATAACTGTATTTGGATAATATGAGCTTACAGCGTTCGTTATTGATTTCAATCAAGTTGTCAGTTATCATTTAAATTGTAATTAATAATTAAAATTAATTTCAAGAAATTAGCACACACAAAAAATCCAAATAAACAACTATAAATGAATGCGCCTTTTCAGTATTTTTGTATTTACATTATCAAATAAAAAATAACAAAGAATAATTCAATCAATATATTGACACCGGCATCTTACTTTAGTTTTAAAATCCGTCAATCATATTTAAATCACACTTTTTTTTTATTTTAAAAATTTATTTTATATATATATATATATTTAAATCAAACTATTTACATTGTGATTTAAGTTAAACAAAAGCATCACAGATATATTAAAATCAATATTTCTATAGTGTCGTCAATAATAAAAAAAAAAAACCCATGAGTTTCTTAATCAATATATTATGTATATATACAGGGAAACCGGAAGTTCCACGAGGAAAGATCTTTAGGAATAAAATAGACGTCATGACGTAATAAAACGCACGAGCGTTGATTAAACGTTTATTTATGTGGGCGCTAATGTATGAGAATTTATCAGAATTGAGAAAATTATCTCCCCTGCAATTCTTCCGGCAACGGGCCGCCATTTTGAACCGGAATGTAAACCATCCTAACGAGTTGAATCTTCAGAATTTTTTTTTGTTCGTCTGCTGGTAATCTGGGCTTGTTCGGGGGAAGTTTTCAGAATCGGGTAATGCAATAGAGGTCAAGGGCGTCATTAGGTCAAAGGTTAAATATGAAAGGAACTCTAGACCAATAACTTCGATACTAATTAATTAATTCGAGTTCGAATCCGGGTTCAAGTCAGTAGACCGTCCTTGAGTCCACCCAACTCTGATGGGTACCTAACTCACGTTAAGGAAAGTAAAGGCGGCTGGGCATAGTGCTGACCACACTATCACTTCATATGCCGAGGTCACAGAAACAAGTGAAGTCTACTTCACTTGCCCCATAGACCGTCAGGTTTGAAAAGGGAACTTTAATTAATTAATTGCAGGCAGAAGAAGTACCGCAATTAATTAGACAACAAGACTAGACCTAACTCTAGTCCTAACTCCGTTGTTAAAAACCGAACCAGATATTTTCAGTAACAAGAAAATTTAAGAACTTTTTTTCTTGGAAGCAAATGTATTGATCAGCACTAAAAGTTATATCCATGAGACGAGAAATCAATTTCTAGAAACCGAATATCATATATTAAATTTTCCCATTTTTTGTAACGTTAATCTACTTTAAAGTTGTCTACTTGTTTATTAGATCAGTATAGCAGGGGCCATTGCAGATTGTAGTCTCTTAAAGAGTTTTTTTTTAAAATAACTCTCAAGGGGTGTGTGAGTTGGAGCAGGGAGGGTAGTTCAGAACATATGTACCATCCCGCCACCACCCCCGGGCTAAATAGAATAATATAATATTCATAAATAATATACATGTGGGACGGCGTGGTTGAATTGTAGAACTTACGACTGCTAACCCGAAAGTCTCGAACTCGGATCCCGAGTGCAAGTCTGTTGGACGTCACTGAGTTTACTCAGCTCTGATGGGTACCTGACTCAAGTTAGGGGAATCAAAATATTTTCTTTTACCAATATCCTCACCGGGAAACTTCAAGTGCCTCTCACCTCCCCTTCGAAGTTTCAAGAAGAATAATATCTGAAAGAAACTCTGGTCTCTCTCCCTTAATTTAACTCTAACCCTAGTCCTAACTTCTTCTTCTTCTTCGTAGTTCTTAATATTTTTTTTAGATTGAAGGGACCAAACAATGATACCAACTCTATGGACGAACTGAACGGTCTTCTACAGCAGGGGTCTCCAAACTACAGCCCGCGGAGAACTTTTTGTCCAAGGAAAAATCGTTTGTTGGTGATGGCCGATGAACTTTACCCAGAAAAATCAAAGACATGCCTGGAATAAACTGGCCCCCGAACTGAAATTTGATAGTTAATGCGGCCCTCGGACTGAAAAGTTTGGAGACCCTTGGTCTACTTGACTACGCTATGCTCTGTTTTTGCTTTCATATGCTTGACCTCTATAACGTATAACATGCGTTATCACACTAGTCCTAACTTCATCTTCTTTGTTCTTAATTAAAAAAAATTATATTGAAAGTACATAATAACAAGAATAACTTTGAGACCGAACAGAACGGTAGTCTCCAGTTTTGCAAGTCGTCCATACAGTTTTTCAAGCACTAACGACCTAAAGGTACTCGAGTATCACAATCAGCGATACCAGCTGAACGAGTACGTGGGTGTGGCAGATCGATGAGACCCCAGACAATTACTGTACACACTGGCGCCAAAGGTCATGACCTTGGAGTAGAATTACCGGGAGAAATAGACAGGCCGGCTCCGCAGTCAATTATTATTAAAAAAAATTAATTAGCGCGACCTAAAAAATTATATTCTGATGAAAAAAGAATATGGGTAAAAGATGATAAAATAATATAGATCGTCTATTTGTAGGATTTTCGTTGATATTTTAAAAAGTTCATATGTCATCAAATGATGTTGTTTACGTCACATAAAAGAGTATCGTATAAGCTTTAGGAAGTCTTCATTCAGGAAATGTACGAGAAGACTGCAAATATAGAATAAAATAAGCAGAATTTTTAAAAATTTATAAAGCCTGGTAATTTTTTTGTTTGCTTTGCCTATTTACAATAATATTCTACAATCAGCATTTCCTTCTTTCTTATTGGCCAACCAATAGGAAAAAAAATAATTAAAAATCAATGACGTCATTAGATGACGTGTGACGTCATTATCTATATTCCGGCCAATCATCAATTGGGAGAATTTTAACGATGGGACGAGTTAACGAAATGGGCTAAAGAGAGGGTTAAAAAAACTAAGTTCGTTTTCTCGTACGTAAATTAAAGCAATTCTACACAAAATGGTTGAAGTCGATTTTTGTTCTTCTTTAAATATTTCATAATTACCTCGTTTGTTTTAGCACCATTTGCACCTTTACCTGATTGTTCCGTAATACACAACCAAATATTGATATTTTGATAAGCCAGCGAATGAATTATTCAGATTATTCATGCAGGAACGATAACTTTCACTAACACGGAAGTAGGATTATGGGCCTTTGTGAAAACACATTTGTGATGGTATCGATGGAAAATCGCATTGAAATATATACATGGTGTCGTTATTAAGACCTTAAGGTTAGGGTTAGATTAATTATATTTAGAACTTAAGGTTATGGCTTTGGTTAAATTAGTGCTATTTAAGGTTAGATTACTGCCGTCTAGAACTTAGGGTTAAAATTAAATTAATGCTATTTACATCTAGCATTTTTTAATAGGTGTTTTAAATTAACTTATATAAAAGAACACTTTATTCACAGATAACAGATTAAGATTATTTTATGCTAATAACAGTCATACCTTTTACTTTGGGTCCTTCAATTTAAAAAAAAAAATCTAATTTAACATTTTAAAAGCAACCAACTTATTCACTCTTAATAATAGTAACTTTTGTGTACTAAAACTACGACATGAAAGCTCCAGAGGCGTAGGGAGGGGGAGGGGGGAGGGGGGTAGATACATATGTCCCCGGGCGCCAACCCTAGGGGGCGCCAAAATGGGTTTTAAAAAAATTTAAAGCTCATTTTAGCTTCAGTTTTGCATTATAAATATAAAAAGTATGGGGTGGGGGCGCCAAATTAAAAGTTTGTCCCCGGGCGCCGGGAAGGGTCGCTACGCCTCCTAAAAGTCGCGCTAATTGCTCTTCACCACGATTTGGTAATCATTGTCAACCATCAAAAGCCAGTTAAATGTATAAAAAAGTAACAGTTTATAATGATAAGTTATTGAATTTATCATAGAGTCGCAACTAGCTACAGGACAGAAGGATGGTGGGT